ACCCTTGACCTCAATAGGATAAAGAAATGATTTGTGGACAACCCCTCTTATGGTTGTCCGAAAAAAACACTTGTAGCTTTGTTTTACTACTTAAGTTTAGCCAGTAGTTAGAAAAGAACAACATAGAATTTATCTCATTATTGGTCATCAAGTAAATGTGTGATGATGGCTTCTGACACTCGGCTACTGAATTGGGAAAATCACATAACAACCACTCACACATAGAGAAGTAACTTGCAAAGAGAATATCCTTAGATAGAAACATATATTCAAATTACAATTTGTAGAGGATATCAGCTTGTAACTGGGATGTTTATGTCATTTACCTATTATTAATAAATGTACTTATTACCAAAAACGCAAATGCTATTGTCAAAACCGATGCTACATTATACAAACGTTACCAATAAAAAGCATTGATGGTCACCAGGGTCTATAGATTAAAAAGGAAAGAGGTAACAAGCAATAAGTGGAATTTGTATAACTCAATTGTTCATAGCTTAGCGGAGTCAGCTTAAGCGCAAGCTGACAAGAAGCCTATGCAATGATCGTGAACAGTGGTGGGTAGCGAAAGCAAGAGAAATGGAAAAGGCAGCGGCAATAGGTCACAGCAGACAGCTGTTCAGGTTTGTCAAGGAAATCGGTATTAAGAACCCAACTGTTAGCGAAACAATCTCAGAAAAAGATGGACATATTATACATTCACAATCCAGGAGATAGTGTAGTGGTAAATAAATCCCCAAAATAAATAGCTCTATAAATTTTCGACATTGGATGCTGACCAGATTAGTTTTAATTGACTCACCTAGCTGAAGGGGCTCGGTCATGCATCCACACCAGATCACCTGTGGGAACGCCGTGCTCAACATCTACCGCGATCGCTAGCCAGACTAGATCAGACAATTCCGATATATTGGCAATCGTCAAATACAACTTCTGATCTCCTCGACTCTGTCTTTTGATTTCTCTTGGTGGGTACGAGTTATATTAAGTGTTACTGGTAAAAGCGTTGTCAAACACTGAATACCTGTGCCATCTTCAATAGGATCGATGGGCAGAACACTTTAGGGATCAGTTCAACTGGCCTTCAGCCACACTTCGGTTTCCCACGATCTCCAGTCAACCTGAATGGCAAGTTAATTTACGTCCTCTGACTCTTTACGAGGATGATAAAGTTATAGGAAATCTGAAGCGAGGGAGAGCAGTAGGCCCTGACAGGTTTACTCCTGAGATTTTTAAGGATGGTGGTTCAGTATTAACAGTGAGATTAACTGAGGTCTTAGGTAGAATTTGGGAACTGGACGTAATCCCATCTGACTGGTCTCAATCACTGATTGTGCCAGTTTATAAGTAAGGACAAAAGACCTCTTGTGACAATCACAGAGGAATCAGTTTGACTAGTATCGTATCTGAAATATTAGCTTCAATAATACTTCGATGCCTAACTAAAGCTCGTGAAGAGCAGATTAGAGAAAACCAGACTGGTTTTCGACCTGGACGTGGTTGTATAGACCACATATTCACACTACGTCAGGTTCTAGAACACAGACACACGTTCAGACGCCCACAATGGTAGTATTTCTCGACCTTAAGGCGGCATTCGACTCTGTTGATCGTGAGGTTCTATGGCAGTGTTTGCCACTGAAAGGAGTATCAAAAAAGTGCATTAACCTTGTAAAGGCCCTGGTACGGCCGAGAGTGGGAAGAGTCCGCTCTCCCTCTCCAAATGCTCTCACATGGCCACGCGTATATAGTCTCTGTCAGGGAAGTCCTACTTACTGCCTTCTCGTGGCATTACTGTTGCTTACGAAAATGAGAGGACGAAAAGCGAATGTCCGACGCCTTAACCGGATTCCAAACCAATGGTGCACATGGGCTCCAATTTCCTGAAGGAACAAATGGCGTATGAACCAATCGTTGGTCACCGGCTTCCATGGGACTGCATCTCCTTACGATGCTCCACTGCCTTGTGGATCAGACCTTCAGGTCGAAGGCTCGAGGAGTGGCCCCCTAAGAAAACCACCTGTTCGGTTTGGGCACCCGGGCAGTATCACAGCCCTCACACATATCGAATGAGATTTGTGTGGCGCATTTATATTTGGTGCCTCCTTGTACCAATGTCTATGTGTTAAAATAAATAAATAAAGGCTCTCTACTCTTTCACAACTGGTCGAGTTAGAGCTTACGGCGAACTGTCATCAGAAGTGATTACCTCAAGTGGTGTTCGTCAGAGCTGTCCACTCTCTCCATTCTTGTTCACCTTTGTGGTCGACGTAATTTTAGAGATAACACTCTCCTCATCTAAATTTCTAGGGGTTGAACTTCTACCGGGAGGTTCACTTGTTGATTTAGAATATGCTGATGACATAGTTTTATTTGGTGAAGACGCTGACAAAATGCAGTCTTCTGACCACCCTAAGCAACAATCCAACCATGTTCGGGATGCGATTCTCTCCCTCGAAATGCAAAATGTTACTTCAGGATTGGGTTGCATCGATACCCGAACTAGTGATAGGGAGTGAAGTAGTTGAGCGTGTTGACCGCTTCACTTATCTTGGAAGTCTCATTAGCCCTTGTGGTCTGGTGTGTGACGAAATCTCAGCACGGATACAAAAGACTCCACTAACTTTTGCCAACTTGCGTCATTTATGACGTAAGCGAGAGATAACTCTATCAACCAAAGGACGGGTTTACTGAGCAGCAGTTCGTTCCGTCCTACTTTATGACAGTGAAACATGGCCGGTAAGAGTAGAGGATATCCGTAGGTTACTAGTATTTGATCATAGGTGTCTTCGAAATATTGCTCTTATATGCTGGAGCCACCGAGAAGGTAACGCAGTTGTTAGGAAACGGCTACTAGGTAAGGATGGCAAATCAATTGATGAAGTAGTGAAACTCCATCAGTTGAGATGGCTGGGACACGTGTTACGTGTGCCCAACCACCGACTACCTCGACGTGCTATGTTCAGTGGTATAGGAGTAGGTTGGAAGAAAGCTAGAGGCGGTCAAACCAAAACATGGCACAAATCCATGAAGTCACTGACAAGTAGACTGAGTCATGTTGGTAGGTGTAGACTACTTGGTTGGGATTCGCGAGACGATAGCAACCGATGGTTAGAGACCTTGAATTACATGGCTCAAAATCGTTTGTAATGGCGCACGTGCATCCACTCTTTATGTTATCCCAAATTCTAATCTTCTGGATTCTTCATATCCCTGATTTTCTTCCCAAACTTATTGCACTGCATTATAGTCCTTGAATAACATCTTCAAACCCTAATGTTTTCGATTACTGCTTATACTCTTACCACCTCTACTACTACGGGATTTGAATCGACAACTGCATCGCTGTGGTATGGCAACTCGAACTGATGTACGTACGTACGAAGTTGTACGTTGTTACTGACTGACTAACTTTCAGCAGTCTTACATAAATTAATACTACAGATATACCCGTCGAGATTCGTAAGTGGTTTCTTTGAATATTTCTCCCTTCTGATCTGCATAGTTCTAGGTGAATATAATTGACTAAGATATACAGTACGTGAGTCTAGAATCACTAAGCTGCATGAATACTATAGGCGTTTATACAGAGCATGTGACAGTGAATTATGGATATATTATCAATATAATGATGAACTGGCTACAAATGTGAGTGCACTTTATACTAAAAAAGCCTATCATTAAAATATAAAGACTGGAGGGGAATAGAAGTAAGGCCGATCTTATTAAAACGTCTATCTTACAACTCATTTAAAATTTATGATCGATATTTTTGAAGAAAGTTCCACAAACTTTTAATGTTTATTTCTCCTGAATTAAACCTTATCAAGCTGTCTACTTTTCAAATAATCTCAAGTAAATGATATGCTGTTTAAGGTTTTCAAAAAAATATTAAGAGCGGATACAGGGCCGTTAAACCAGTATACTTTACAGTTTACCAACATTAAAACGATCGCAAAAGAGAAAGAATATGGTATATTTGTTGAGATGTATTGCTATTGAGAGAAGTAAATGAAAATAAAATAGCTAGAGACGGTAGGAAAAGGTTATACAAGAAACACAACTAAATAATATCCTGAATGGTATGGAAGCTTGACTTTACATCCTAATAATTTGAGATTATTTGAGAAAGTTCTTTAAAATTTTGACTGACGTCAACAACAAGGGAAATGCGACTCGACCCCGAACGAATTTCACACACATTACTACATTAAGCAAAAACTGCTAGGCAAACAGGAGTTCAAAACATCTCGACACGGTTGTACACAAATTCAAAAGTACTAAATTTTGTAAGCTATCTTGAGGGATGAAACCGACCACAGCAAATGGACCCTAGTACAGCTAAACCTTAAGTCTTTATTTTCCGATGTCCTCATTTTGATTGTCCGCAAATTTTATTTAAAACTACTACAATTCAAATGAGAGAGACGCTTTGAACTTAATAAGAATAACCATCTGATATAGTGAAATGGAGAGACCATACTCAAAACGCTACAAAATGTCAACTAATTTGCAACAATCATTATTAAGTTACAAGATCAGGAAATCGGTCTACTTGAGATATATAAATAAGCTGAACACCATTCGTTGTAAATGTAACATTATTCAAGCAAAAGATCATAAGTCCAGAATGAGCGCTTCATGTAAAAGTGAATTTTCAATTGTGAGAAATTTATAATGTTATGATGATATTTCTTTTTAGAATATGCAGGTAAGCTGTGCTTGGTTTAACGGAATCCGCACAATAGCTTAAACAACAAAATGTAATATCATTCGTTATAATACATAACTACTGCATCTCGTCAAATAATAGTTTGCTAAAATTCAGAAATTGCAAATGAAAACCTACAGCAGTCACAGTAATACACATACAAAAAGATACTAACTACATGTTATGGGTAAAATTAAGGCTAAATATCAGTGCTGCAGTATAACATATTTTTATCAAACAGAAAATAGGGATACTATACAAATTGAAAATATCAAAAGATAATCATTCATGTTTCGTCTTTGTCTGATACTTTAGTTAAAGCAGACCCAATACCGAGACGTTCTAATTCTTCCGTCAGTTTCCCAGAACGATGCATATCTAAAAGAATATCACAACCACCAATAAATTCACCGTCGAAATATAACTGAGGGAAAGTGGGCCAGTCAGCAAACACTTTAGCAGCAGCTCGTAGGTCTTCATTCTCTAAGACATCATATGATGCGAACAGATCTGGGTCATCTCCTTTACTTGCTTTTTCTAGAATTCCATGCATTTCTAGGATACGACAAACAGCATTGCTGAAACCACATCGTGGTTCATTGGGATTCCCTTTCATAAAAAGCACAATACGACTTCCTTTTACTAAATCAGAAACATTGTTTACAGAATTGTCTGATGGGGTATTAGAAAACTGTCTACGGATAACATAATTGAACTGAGAGAAAGTTGGTGACGCGACAAGATGTTTTGTAGACTAAAAATGTGATACAAGCAAGAATAATGCATGAATAAATATGATTAGTGTTATAATGGAGCGGGACTATCACTTACATTTTTATTGTATAATAATTAGACACTTGGATTATTGTACATTCATATTATCCTAGCTGCAAGCTTTTGTCTAGTACAGAAAATATTTTTTTTGTTTTTTTTCCCTTAAGTTACTGTTAATTAACTATACATATATTATTTCGATCTCTTTCACATACGGTATACCTATGTCCATATTGTAATTCCCGATTTATGTTTATGTGCAGTCTGAAAATTAGTTTATACAGGTCACATTAGCTTGATTTATGAATTCAACTGTAAAAATAGAGGTCATTTTTCTACTTTGCTGTTCTTCTATTCCGGCTATCGGGCAAGCAGGTGTGGGAGAACTATATTCTGAACCAATAGGCTTTAAGTATTGATCAGGCTATTATCTCAACATCATCGAATTGTTGGTCAAAGGAAGGCCGTCGTGTCATTTGGTTAGCAGATCATCAGTTTTAATAGGCAATCTAGATGATGAATCCAATACTCGGACGCGATCATACAACTGAACATTGAATGACGACCTATTCACACGGGATCTCAACGAGTATAATGACCGGCAGAAGTGTACCTATCGCTGAAATGGCTGGAGATAAATTTTAACTAGAAAGTCTTCAACCCAAAAGCTTTGTGAATCCGATTACGTTACAAAATACAAGAACAGTAAATTTATTGTTTATTTTCTAGACACAGGTATTTTCAAACAAATCTTATTTTTACAGAATTACACAGATACATATATAAAAGTGTTTGGACATACCACTGCAGCCTTCAAAGATGAAGCTTTCAATGAACCGCCAAGTGAAGTCAAAAGTCGTACAGGAAGCTTTAATACGAACCGCATTTCTCTAGGGTAAGACAAAAAGAAACGAAATATCCGAAGATCATTAGAATTCCCTATGGGTAACATATTCATGACTAAATTGTTTGGTTACATTCGGGACATGAAATGAGAGGATCATCATTTCAATGTGACATGTTATTCATCCTAATTAATTATCAGTAAGGATTTGTGTAACTTGTTGAATTTCATTGACATTAAGAAACGATCCCGCGGGTGGGATCGTGGATGGGCACTGCTGGAGAGTTTCGTATTAAGATAAAACGGCCGTCCAGTACTTCCATGTTTTCAACGGTGCTCTAACTTAGATCGGTTCATGATTTCAACATAATTATCACTTATACACCACTTTGCCCCCCAATAATTTTTCTGTTTCTGAATTAAAAGTTCAGTCATATTACTTTGAGGAATCTAGATAGTATATTCAATCTAAAATGTTTAAATAGCCTATTTTCCCATTTTCGTGATTAAATATTGCATCACGCCAGTGTGACAACAGACATGAAAAAATTTCTAACAATAGAAATGTACTATATTATCATTCACCTAGAAACTTAAACACAACGAATTCGTCTCAAACAATTAACACCAGATCTCATGGAAAACTCAAATGAAGGTAACACAACAGCTGGTACACATTTTCTACATGTCTTCTCTGTCAAAACGAGTAACAAATGCATCAGAATCCACACACATAAATTAGACTTCATTGTAGTGGTTTCAATTTCGGTCTAAGAATTTCTTACTGGAACTACATGTATACTAGACGATAAAGTGATTATTATTTCTATCAATCTACTTTCGCATGAATCGTTAACCTTGTTACCCAATACCTGGACCCACTATTCTTCATGTACACTACTATTCGCGAATATGGATTTGTTATCCTCTTATTTTTATTTTTATTTTAAAACATAGGTATTGGTACAAGGAGGCACCAAATACATATGCGCCACACAAATCTCATTTGATATGTGTGAGGGCTGTGATACTGCCCGGGTGCCCAAACCGAAGCAGGTGGTTTTCTTAGGGAGCCACTCCTCGAGCCTTCGACCTGAAGGTCTAACCCACAAGGCAGTGGAGCATCGTAAGGAGATGCAGTCCCATGGAAGCCGGTGACCAACGATTGGTTCATACGCCATTTGTTCCTTCAGGAAATTGGAGCCCATGTGCACCATTGGTTTGGAATCCGGTTAAAGCGTCGGACATTCGCTTTTCGTCCTCTCATTTTCGTAAGCAACAGTAATGCCACGAGAAGGCAGTAAGTAGGACTTCCCTGACAGAGACTATATACGCGTGGCCATGTGAGAGCATTTGGAGAGGGAGAGCGGACTCTTCCACTCTCGGCCGTACCAGGGCATTTGGAGGCAAATGACGGGACGGCGAAGGAAGTCCTCCCGTCCCACTGGTTAGGCAGGCCACCCACCGTAGCAGGCGTAATTTTCGGTAACGAAGTAACCACCTCGATTGCCCGACTATCCTCTTATTAGAAAAGTAAATATACCAAAGTATTATAAATCAATAAGAATTTTATAATGAATTAAAAATTTAAACAATTACTTACGAGTTGCACAGTTGCTTGAAATTCCCTTACTGTCACAATTTACTATTATCTATAATAATCAAGAATGAAAAATATAAATGTTTATGTGAAATATGTTGTTTATTTGGAATGAATAAATTTACAAAGCAATAATCAGATTGAAACTAATGAATCAATATCCCATAAAACCATAGTTCACTTTATTAATGACTGATTAACAGACAAAATCATTCATTCACAGACGAAAATAACAGTCAGACAGATATCAATTAGGTAAACAATTAAAACAAGCATCAACAATCAAACTCACTATTCACAAAATCAATCATTAAAGTGAAACCTGGTTAGGATTCAGATGCGCATAATCATCACATTATAAATATAACAAAAAATAAATGTGAATATATTATATTATCAATAATGTACATACTAGAAACTAATTTGAAGTACCATACACACACAGAATTCCGTGGAAAGAATTAATTCTGGAAAGAAAAGAAACGACGAAAAAAAATACAAGTAAGAATTTAAGACATTTTAAATACAGACAAATAATTAAGACTGAAAACATTTTTTTCTCAATATTCACCAATTGTACATATTATTAAAATCAATAAATCAAGATCAGTTAATTATTACTTTGGAGATTATGTTCAATTATTGTAATCTCTAGAATATAAACTAAATTAAAACCAAGATCATTATAGAAAGTCAGATGTAGATATTGAATAAATCACAAAGAATAACAAATAGGTTGTAAATTATTTTTCTGTCTATCTGTCTATCTATCCATCTATTCTGAAAAGTATAGTTATGATAAATATTCTCTTTATTTCTTCCACTTTACAGACTTTGTCAAATTAATCACTAGATATATACTTACTGGAACTACAACATATAAATCGGTAGAAAATTCATATTAATTAGACAATGACTAATAAATTTGCTGAAAATGCTGAAAATAAATAGGTGACAATATTGAACTTCATAGAATCAGTATATATTTCGATGGAGCAACAATCTTTCAGTAGGTTAAGCGTTCGAGCGCGAGACCGAAGAGCCTGGGTTCGAATCCCGCAAGCGGAGCTGTGGATGCGCACTGCTGAGGAGTCCCACAATAGGATGAAACGGCCGTCCAGTGTTTCCAGGTTTCTAACGGTGGTCTAACATCAATCGGTTCATGATCTTAATCAAAAACTTAATAATCTCCATAACCCCTATACTGATAATCCTTTCAGAAAGTTTTTGGTTTATAAAACAAAAAAGTGACATTTAAAGCCCTACATATATAGGAGAATCCAAACAATAAAAATAAAAAAGATGGAGTACAATAAAATGTCCTATTAATAAGTAAATCTATATCTTATTTTATTACTTTTAATTTGTCTTATATTATATGGACAATAATGATAAACTTTCATTTGTTTATTGGTCTAAATATATAATGAGCAACCAACTTGTTTAACAGAACAATACAAACATTTATTTCATACGTTCTAATTCTTTGATAAATTCAAGTAAAGTGGGAACAATATTTGCAGAGTAAAATGAATTCATTATGATTTAACGCTTTTCATCAGTTGCAAATGGTCTAAATTCACATTAGTAATGTTATTCTAAAGAAATTTTATTGCACACCATAATCAATCAAGTTTAGTTCAAAGGGAATTAGGAAACCAGAAGAGGAAACAACATATTTAATATAATAGTTAAAATTGATTAGTATTTATATGCTGAAAATGAAATCATAAAATAAGAGAAAGGAGTGACGTTGTAAAATATAAAAGAGACAATCAATAGAAACAAGCTTTTAACAAATCAAGGGAGCTAGTTGACATGAAATTCAAGTTAATTTTTGTTATAATACTAATAATAATGTAAATCTAGGCCATTTGCATCTGATGAGTAGCCCTGAAACAGTGAAACCTTTTATTTATTTATCCTTATGTATGTTGTGACAAGTTTGATTTATAACACCCAATCAGATCATCTAATTTCATCAACAACTATAATCTAAGAACATATTTGGTTAATGGATTTTTCAAATATCATATCAGATCTACATACTACACACATACATACATACAATTTCACCACATTTCACAGCAAATGACGCATACTCATATAACATTATTCCTATGACTGGACAATTTGTTCAGTACATGATTTGAGACTTAGACCAGACTACTGAGCGAAACGCTGGATTAATTTAAATTGTTAATTTTCTACACATAAACTTTCCTTTTTATGCATTATACTTAATCGGTCCTATACCACTGTGAAACTATTTATTCATATTTAAAGGAAAATTCTTAAGAAAATTGTTTATACTTATTCTGAAAAGCCATCATGAACACGTCACTTATCAATGTCATTAATCTGTTAAGTTCCAATTCTAATCAAAAACTAACCTAAGGATAAGGCACTAGGGTGAATTGTTGGAATTGTGAACTCCAGGATGTTAGCGAATATCAATAAGAAATACGATAAGTTATACATATCGAATGAAAGAATCAATTAACTGACGTTTAGAATCTCAACTATTACATACATATAATATTTTGAAAACACAGATATGGTAGTAGACGTAAAATGGTATGTAATATCAAATAATCTAATGATTGAAGAAAATACGCAATATTTCCACATTTTAATAGTTATCCAATTAATACTTAAACTATCTGGAGAACTGCTGACAAAGAACTAGTTAATTGATTATCCTAAATATTAAAAAAAAACAATAAAATTGGAGTTGAAAAGCATGAACTCAAGGATGACTGACCGACTACTTACAACATAGAAAATTACTCAACTGGGAAAGAAATACATATTTTTAGAATGTAACAGATACTCCATCTAAAAAAATTAGTAAATGGTAATTATAGATTATGGTAAACTTAATATGTCGACAAAAACAAGCACATGAACACAAACAGACACACAATGAGTAAAAAACGAGAAACACTCAATATAATTTTTTATTTCTATGAATTAGATATATTGAATTTTATCAATAAAAATCATACAACTGAATAATAAATATTGTAATACAGTCTACATTGATCCTGGTATTTGTTTTGCTGAACAATCGGGCGGGGTGATCAGCTCTAGATGCACCAAATGAGAATGTAGGATAATTTTCGTCTTAGAAAGAAGGGTTTAATTCTCTTGTAGGTACTAAAATAAAACCTAGTGTCAGAATACATAAACATGCACACGAAGTAGAATGAACCTAAATCATTACGACTACAAGACAACAATAACAACAATAGTACATTACGTATAGACAGATTTATGTATAAAAAAAAGGGGGAAATCCATAAAAGGAGACGTATGTGTACACGTCAACACAACATTAAAATGATGTGAGATAGTAGAGGGGAACAGTAAAAAAAGAGGGAGATAAAAAGGAAACAGATTAACTAAATAGTGAAAATAGTAAATCAACTTGATGCAGATAATAAAAACAACAACAACAATTGAGATTTAATCTGACCAAAATTGTAAATGTCACAAAAACACACACATAAAATGATACTAATAATAATAAAATAAACGAGGCAATGAAATAATAAGTTTCAATGAAAATAACAGGAGATGAAAGTTACACATCTCTAAGACCAATTGAAACTAAATATATTTAATTCACATAAAATTTATGTCATAATACAAGTATTCGAAAAAGGAAAGAAAAATAAGCAAAACCAGGTAAAATGAATGAATATGAAAATAAATCTATACATATTTCATAATCGGAATCAGAGGATATACACACACTTCCAGGCTCTAAAATGTTTTTTGTCTGTTCATCTATCTGAAAAATTTTAGTTATAATAACATTCTCTTAATTTCTTCTTTTTTTGTACATAGAAAGTTAAATCATGTAAGAGGCAGTCAATTGAACTTGTAGTAAAATACACATTATTAAAATGTGTCACCAAAACTATAACCACTGACTCTACTATTCAAACTTTGTCGACTTCCATGAAAACTGAATTGTTCAAAATATGGTCCATCGACAATTCGATTCATATTATCTTCATCATCGTTTGGAGGAGTCAATCGACTGACGTATCCTTGAATTCATCTGGGACATATTTTGTGTCTTTTTCATCGACCACGTCTGGTTTCCATGGTGGTTGAATATCTCTGAAAGTGTAGATAAGTAAGTAAATAGGTGTTTTATATATATATATATATATATATATATATATATATATATATATATATATATATATATTAGTTTTCCCCCAAATGCCCTGGTACGGCCGAGAGTGGGGAGAGTCCGCTCTCCCTCTCCAAATGCTCTCACATGGCCACGCGTATATAGTCTCTGTCAGGGAGGTCCTACTCACTGCCTTCTCGTGGCATTACTGTTGTTTACGAAAATGAGAGGACGAAAAGCGAATGTCCGACGCCTTAACCGGATTCCAAACCAATGGTGCACATGGGCTCCAGTATACTGAGGGAACAAATGGCGTATGAACCAATTGTTGGTCACCGGCTTCCATGGGACTGCATCTCCTTACGATGCTCCACTGCCTTGTGGGTTAGACCTTTAGGTCGAAGGCTCGGGGTGTGGCTCCCTAAGAAAACCACCTGTTTCGGTTTGGGCACCCGGGCAGTATCACAGCCCTCACACATATCAAATGAGATTTGTGTGGCGCATATGTATTTGGTGCCTCCTTGTACCAATGTCTATGTGTTAAAATAAATAAATAATATATATATACGGTTAGCAAGCCATGAACATGAAATATTCTTTCCCGAAGAAAAATGAAACAAAATAACAAATTTAGAAAATCACGTGAGTCGTATTTGTCATTAAATTTATAACTTAAATCTTAACAACCTAGCAAACTATGCTGAAATGTCGTCCTGAGGAAATAGTCACTGAATGAAGTTTGTACAATTCATTTGTATTAGTTTAAATCTTCCTACTGATGTTTAGGATTGCAATTGATCAGTCTCGTTTCGCATATGTGTATCCTGTATGAATTGTCACTAATTTAAAAGCACTATAAACAGAGATGGATAGTGGCTAACAGTGGGATCCAGGACAAAACGCTCATCCTGGATTCCACTGCTAGCCACCATCCATCCATGCTTATAATGACTATGACTTAATGACAAAATCGAGGCAGTCCGCACAGGATACACATATGTGGAACGAGACTGATCAAATGCAATCCTAAACATCAATGGAAAGATCCAAACAACTAGTGTAAATGAATAATTTTAGTAGTTGTATTCGAAACAGAAATTGACATCACTATAACAAGTTTTCTGGTTACTAATTTAAACAATTGATATATCTCGAATATAATAAAAATGACAAACTAGGAACACATACATACAACATACTTTCTTATTAAACGATCCCAATCGACTGACGCAAAAAACAAATGTGCCATAACTTCCAAAACATCCTGTACTCCACCACCTAATCGACTTGTTGGATCTTTAATTAAAAGTCTAGACAAGATATCTTGAGCTGGGTGTGAAAGACGAGCTGGGAAGGAGACATTGTCCTAAGGCATTAAAAATGACAAAATACGATATAATCTGAATGACCATTACTGCCAAAATATTTGCATAAACATTAAGATTATTTGTAACAACCCATTTGATACCTACTACACAGAACAATAGAAAATTCAAACTATTAAACGCTCGATATAGTAAGATATCTAGATTTGAGTCATTGTCAAAAGACAGAGCGGAGACCACATATTCGATACCGATTTTCATTTTTACATTTACAATTGTCATGGTTAATGTGAGGGTTCTGACAAATTCTGGATGTTTAAATGAACTTGGTAGTTTTCTCAAGGGATTGCCTTACATACTTTATCTACAGGGTAGTGAGAAGATGCCAGATACAATGTCGTGACAGCTGGTTGTCAAGGTAGGCACTGGGCTTTCCAGGGCCTTAAGGTTAGTATGGATCACTTGTCTGGAATCAGGGATTCCTAACTCTTTTAAGTAAACCTTTCGTATCCTTCGGCTATGTCTAACCACCAAACATCTGTTTCCGTTCTAGTATTGCAGGAACATCTTACCAAAGTTAGTGGAGTAAGTAGGACTATTCATGAGAAGCCGAAGACGCATGATTTAATGAGATCATGCCAAGTAGGAAAACACTATTTCCACTCTTGGCAATATAAGACCATGAAAAGACCCTTTACAGCAAGCTTGATCAGGATTCAGTCACTTGTGACACATCTAACTTCAGTGAGATATTCATATCTACCAAAACATTTCCCAAAAATCATAATACTTCACTTTGTCTTGCTAAGAGTGAATAACATGTGGATGACGAAAGGTTGGAAATATGGCTCATTAAGTGATAGGAATTACGTATGTTTCTCATCGATAAACTGATAAGATGTTTCAAATTTTACAATCCAATAGGATTTTATAACTTTTCGGTAAGTATGAACTTCGATTGAGACATAATTAACAAATATAGATGTACAGCTGATTAGCAATTATTATTGATAAAAGAAACTTAAGTCATGATATGATCGCTTTGACATTCAGGGAAAAAATGAGAAAGTTTGGTATTTCTGAATAAAGACAACAGTGATTTGGCAAAGCGATAATAAACTGAAATCTCTATTATTTTGAAACATCAAAAGAAATAGAAGCGTACAATGATAACAAAATTCAGTTACGGCTAACTTACTTGCAGTATTAGTTCAAACAAAACTTCATGATCACTTGAGTAGAATGGTAAACGTCCACACATCATTTCATACATTACTACACCAAGGCCCCACCAATCAACTGAACGCCCATAATCGTTATCCAATAAAACTTCAGGTGCTAAATATTCTGGTGTACCACAAAATGTTTTAGTTGATGCACCATAGTACATGTCTTCTTTGCACAGACCAAAATCAGCGATTTTTATATGACCATCTTTATCCAACAATAAATTTTCCAATTTAAGATCCCTGGTCAAGTTGGAGAAAGAATAAAAAACACCAAGTGTTGTAACGAGTATTCTCGCTCAGAAATAAAATCTTTGAATATAAAAACAAAATCTACTGTAAGAACTGTTAAGGCTTCGAAAGTAAATGAAGGGGTCAATACACTGAACTAGTTCACAGTATATTGTCCAACCAAGTATTCATAAAGTGTCTTGAAACAACACCTTATATTTGCAAACAGAAAAAAGTAAATATTCGTGCTTGCTTGTTTTAGACAGAAATGTGTTAGTTATCTATTCCAATTTGATAAAAGTTGTTAGGTAGCAGACCCATAATTCAACAATTTAAACTACGAGTTACCTTTAAAAGCACTTGACCATATTTCTCTCTCCATCTAACCAGGTTCATGTAACAAGTGTTTCAGTCAATATGTCTTGATCAGGTCGTCATAATATATAAGTTTAAACTGTGTCAAAGTAAAAAGCTACATTTGAGAAAAAGTACTATCCCCGAGTACTTCTTAAAATCAAAATTACATGAAGTATAACTTGTAAAGAAAAAAGAGATTACGTAAATCATTATATATATAATTGATTTCGAAGGTATTTTTCCCCTTACCTATAAACAACATTTTGGTGATGTAAATAACCTAAAGCCAGAGTAATTTCTGCACCATAAAATTTAGCTCTTTCTTCCGAGAATACACGATCGCGTTGTAGATGAAAAAATAATTCACCACCATTAACATATTCCATAACAAAGCATAAATAATTAGGTGTAGTAAATGAATAACGTAGCTCTGTCATAAATGGATGTTTGCATTGTTGTAGCACACGATTTTCAGTCATTGTATGAACAACTTCTTCTTTCTGTTATTATGTGGTAAAAAACAATGTAAAAAAATAATGGACTCACGCGATAATAATAATAATAATGACAATAATAGTAAACAGTAATCATCGTTGGTTTTAAAAAAACCATAACAATTGTTGCTATATAAAAATAGTTTATCAGGTGTCTAACAGATAACAATTGATGTAATGCTCTGTTGAATGTACGAAGTAATATGGTTTATAACTTCATGAACATGAGAAACAAGTTTAATTTTAATGCAACTTAATAACTAAGCTCAGACTTAAGAGAAACTTCACTGATACTGTGCATACTACTTGTGTCAACAGACATCAGCAGTATGTAACACCGATTGGAAGTAGAAAACCTGGCAGTAGAAGGCTAAGATCGAGTTGAAAAGAGCACAACGAAAAATAGAAAGGAATTGAGAACTTGAAGAATCATACAGAATGTGAAGGAGAGATGATGAAAATTTGCAAATAAAGTATTCAGTGTATGATTCTTATATTTTACCAAGATACTGTAATTTCGTATTTACATTGGTTGTTCCTGCATGTGTTCCTGTTCACTACAATACTAACTAATTGTCTAAACTGAAATAAGAAAAGGTAGGTTTTTAAACTGCGTATCCAATGGTTGAGAAATTCATGAAATATAAAAAACCTGTAATATGCTACATTTCAAGGCAATCGATGAAAGCCCTTAACTTTTAGTTACTAGTATTTATTAGATCTACCCAACTAAAATTCAGGTGAAAATGATGATCATTTAATAGAAGCAAACACATAGACTTGTAAAATTAGAAATAACAATTATGACTATTCGACTTACTTCAATAAGTACAGATTTCTTTAGTATTTTCATAGCGTAAAAATGACCTGTTTCATTTTCTTGACACAAAATCACTTTTCCAAAAGTACCTTTCCCTAAAACTTTTAAAAGTCTGAAGTCATTTACAGAATAACGTTTCACAGGCCTACAATATGAAAAAAATATTAAAATGTTTAAAAAACAATAATCAAAATAGATAGAAAACAAGTAACAATATCTACAATATATGTGGATTGTTGGAGTTATGCAAAATAAAAATAAGAATAGTTAGATAATAAACCGGTTGTAAGCAGCGATAGAATTGCTATATCAATAATGATAATAATAATAATAACAATAATAATAATAGTAATAATAGTAATAATAATAATAATAATAATAGCGTACGAAAGTATGCACGGTTATGCACGAAAATAAGGCAATGAGTACCGAAAATCAAATCAAGTCAATGGTTATAATTTCAATGAGCGACTGTAAAAAACAGTTCATTCACGCGCCATAGATTAGACTAAATTAGTAAAAGTTATTTTAAAGTAAGACAAAAGGGTTAGACAGGTTTCTCATTAAAAGTCATTAGACACCAACTAGAGGTCATCATCACATGGTTTGTATTCGACTGACAATGTATATGATATATTTTTGGATGTAATTACATAGGCCAGACAAGGAATAAAATATTTTATGCATTGTGAGTATTTTACTGACTAGAAGGTAAGAACAGACTCTCAATGTCATTATACAGAATATATACATATCTGGTTGTGACCAGCAATGAAAAGTGACCTAGAAAAGATTATCTACAATCTCTAGTCTTCATGTACAGATTGAATAACAATCCAAAAGCACTCGATACAGTTCTGATAAGAAATCAGTGATAGTAAACTATCCAATTTTCCTAAAGTATTTTTGGCCTGTTCTCATTGCAACCTTTAATTCAACATCCGGATCGGTCCGGTATATGCACTACGCGTTTTAACTGTCTAAAATATAATGTCATCGTAATTTGAACGATGTTTTAATGCATGGAAAAGTCACATATGTGTGACTACATGTAAACCTCACAATTTAAACTGCACTTCAATCCTAACCTTCACAAGGTATTTTTTGTAGGAAAAATTTGCAAATATAAGAAAACGTACTTGAGTACTTTCATCCGTGATTAGCTACATATACGGAGGGTTGATTTGTTCCAAATAATTAGCATAGATAAACCCCTAGCTAAATTATGTGTTTTATCAGACTCAATAGTACTTCATAAACTCAGATATGTGATGATCATTGATTTTTTAATCTAATGATAAATCATGTTTTTATGTTCAAACTAACCTCTGAGGAATATCAACGATCATATTTTCAGCCAAATCTAAACTGTGTACGGATACTGGCTGCTCAAATGATGATTTGAGTCGATTTGCGACGCTTTGAATTGCGCTAAGCCAATAATTTCTTTCTGCTTCCGTCTCGACAAAGAATAAACGTTCCACTACATTGGTCCATTGTAAACCACGAATAAGAAATGTGTATGGTTTTGGCTTGTTTAAACATATAATTTGACAGTCGCGAACAGTGAAATTATTTAAAGGTTGCGCCATATCATCCTAAAAACACAAATGTTGGTAAACTATGTATTTTAGTAGACGATATCTACTCATTAGACATTATATTTGGAGAACTAAATATATAACTATCATATACTGATCTAATTGTCACTTAACAGACAAATTAAATATATCATGTTAGTCGATTGAAAAACTGTCACTCGTGGAGATTCACTAATTTGTCAAACAAGGAAGACTTTTGTGAATAATTTAATTTACTAGACAATCATCTTTTGATTTGCATAAAATAGGGAACAACAATATTAGACAAATACAACTCCTAAAACACAATATAGCTATAGTTTTGAATGTAAAAAAAGAAAATATTAGACAGCTTGTAATTGATGCGACGATATAATACGTTTTATATGTATCATAGGTTACACTTAGTTGTTACACACTTTGTCTGTAGTTTGCTTCTTCGGCCATCAACAAAGTTACGTTCTGACAACAAAAATACACAAACTTCATTGAGCAAACTATTAAGATCATACTTTACAGAACCGCGTTGACTCCATGAACTTAATAAATGACTGAGATGACCAGGATAAGGTAATAAGCTAAGAGTTAATGTGATGTAATAATAAAGAGTTCACAATAACCAAACCTTTCCCAGGTACATCCGATTCGCTTTCGATACATGAATAATGATTGAGATTATGTATTGTTATTGAAGAAAAACAGTAATAATTAATCATATCAAGATAAATACAAAAATAGCTCGAAACAAATTTGAAACCAACTTTAGGTTGAATTTTATATCCATAAAATGTCCCATCTTCCGTAATTTGAAATATCGACGTCGCCAATTTTTAATATGTTCGCCGCGTTTCATAAGCCATCCCTCTTTCACAACGTTCCGAGTAAGAGGTAAGGAAACTGGTCTACACTGGAGCATCCCAAGAAGGTATGGTGATATACGCGGTGCCAAATTGTCGGAGTAATTTTCTGTCAGTTCGTTCTTAAATAAGACATTCGGATTGGGGGCTACAGGAAGATGGGTATGTTGAAGACTACTAAAGATATTTGAACTCGTGCAATTGATATTTCGTCGCTGAGAAGCAGTGGTATCTTGCACTTTGGCTGATACTGGGACTGGTTCATGCTCCGTGTGACTGCTTTTCGACGAACCAACCACTGGATTTTGAGAGTAATTGCACAAAATCTCCATTACCCAGAAAATCTGCAGTCTAATAAAAAACGAATTTCGATAGACTGAAAACTTGTACTGCTCCAAAGATAACTTATCACTGACAAAGGTATCAAGGTTACCTCTAAAACTTGATATTATTCGAATAATTTACTCGAAGTCGTACTGGTTTGCTCAAAGCTCTAGACAACAACATTGATAAGAAAACACATGATGTATTATTTAAATGTCAGATGAAAAGCACCCTGAAGCTGATGATTAAGAGTCTACAATTAAGATCTTCCTAATTTAACACCAAAAAACATCACAAGGGCGAAATTTTCTAGAGTAAAATTTAATTTAACTTGAGCTTTGGCGAACGGTGAAACGGACACACGTCAAGATTCGCACAACGTATTTATAACTTGAAGACCTTATATGTTTTGCGGGTAACTACTCGTTGAAAGTTGCATGCATTATGGGATAGGTGTAACATGTCAGGACCACTCTGGTTAGTACAATTAAACTATAAACTTCATCCACTTGTAAGACCATCTCCCTAAATAAACCTAGCTTTTGTTGAAATATGAACGATACCTCAAATGTATTTATTGTGAGACATATACAGTATGATGTCCAACTCTAACGTTCTTATTTCCTGAGTTGTATCCTCAGCTTTTAAAGGATGTTCGTACACTTCGAAATGCTGGAAAGACAAGGTAAAATGCCAGGTAATGCCAGAAAACTCATTTCGGTGCTTTTGTTGACTACTAGTCCATCTAATATTATCCAAATACCCGAAAAAAATACTAAAGGATTATAACCTTTCAAGATTCAAACATACCACGTTTGGCTGCATAAAAAACTGACGACAGATGAGTGTTTTAATATATCAGTGTCAAGAATATGATGAAATAGACTGTTAGTAATTATTAGGTATAAATCTACTATAAGTACAAAAGAGACAGTTTAATTGTTTCACAGAAATACTAAGTGATCCTGGTGCTAAGCAATAACACGGCATAAAAAGTACAAATCACATGATGAGATTAAGAATATCCGAAGATTGCAGTAAGTTGTACGATTGCAACCACAAGGTATTTCGATAAGTAATTTAGGGTATAATGTGGATGTGTGGGGAAGGGGCTAAAAGTGGTTAGATTAAGATAATAATATCAGATCATCAAGGCACTAATATTGAGTTGTTTGGGCAGGTGCAAGATAAGTTGTGGTAAAATTTAAGGTTGAGCATTCAGTAATATTTCTTTTTTCCTGAGACTGAACGAGCGTATTACTTGGACTTACTGTTTATATTCAGGAGCTAATGTAAACATGTTAGAAAACAAGTACATGTTTTGGATGATGGGTGATATCCGCACAGTCGTCTACTAGTGCACGTCAGTAGTTACGGCGTCGAATAGGAACAAGTTTATGAGAGTATAGCTGCGATGAACAGTGACAGTTCGCTTTTTTGGGTTTTAATTATTAACATACAATCCGGGTTTAATTTGGCTAACCCAACTTCCATTTGGGCTACCATACAAGCCATCAGGTAAAAAAACTACATAATTTAATAAGTTGCTCAGTCAAGAACGACAAATAATATTCCGGTCAGAGTAAACAGCAGGAAAGTACAGAGTTCTACAAACTCGTGCAAAGACTAGATTTTGTTACCAAGGCAAGGAAATAGATATAGGCGATGGCGAAAAGCTAGAGGAAAGAATAGGAAAATAGGTTAGCATGAGGGGTAAAGAATGAGGATTAGAAATACTCATTGATTGCAGCAACAAAAAGATACATTATGGTTGTTTAAACTGGTTTTAAGTGATACTACTCGAATGGATGCGACTCAGTCGGAATGTTTACGTTTAAGCGGTAGAGTGGGTGCAACTAGATATGGTGGGTGGGTGGGAATAGACACCAACAGACACTTCCGTACATGTACAAAATATTACTCAAACCTCTGTACCCTCACAAATAATTGGCATGCAAGTCAGAATTTATGATGAACGTGTTTTCCATCTAAAATGGCGAAATGATAACTTCAAATAAATATTATTTGAAAAATATACATACGCTGAAATAAACTGGGGATATCAAGAACTATTTCGTACAGAAAAAGGCCCGGAACGGACTCAACACAATAATTAAGCTATGTATTATAATAAATATATGCTGTAAAATAACCTTAGAATTAATGTGTGAAACGAAGCTGACCCTCTGATAGTAATTACAGTAGAATACCGTTATTCGAGAAGTATTTCACTTAAGTAACCCGATGGAACATTAGGGATCTGCACTTTCCATGAATACATCTTTTGTGAAAAAACACTGAATGCACTTACCAGACCTTCAGTTTCATTTATGCATGAGGAAATCCATCTGCTCATATCAATCTACACGTTTTAGAGGTCGTGGAACAGTTCAAAATTAAAGAAGATACTTGTAAAAAAATTTCGGCAAGGCTCCCATTAAGACCTGCGAAAAAACATTCCGCAGATCCTTGTGATGAGCTGTTAGTCATGATAGTAGTCCTCAACAAATGGCACCTGACAAATATAAGCATCGTAACATCACTTTTTCGAGTTACACGCCTCATACAGGATAAATACTCACTTTAGACAACATAGAACCTTCAGTAAATTGTCTATCAAGTATAGCTACAGATTGAGCAATTACTGTTTTACGGTAGTTCCTAGTTTAATCAGTTGAAATGTCATGACGCACGAACAATCAAAACTTTTGGGGTGGTATTATTTGGTTCTGAGAATCCAGTGTGCACTTGTTATTATAATATCTTTTCAATTACGTTCTGCTTAACCATATAACCCAGAGCACTAGACTAAAGCAAATGAATATGAGGACCAAACAGTGTTTAACTTTTCGTCTAACTGGAAAGCAATGTCACCTTAGTCGTCGCTTTAGCAATTCCAGTGACTATATCGAGGAGGACTGGATTACCGTGTCAGTAGCTTTAAGACAATAGTGACAGACTACTCGCATGAACACGAACGACGATCTTTCAGAAAAAATGTCAAAAACTATATGCAATATGAAAAAAGATATCCGTTAGACACACTAAAAAGCGGTATAGACACTCTGGATTACATCACACGAACCACTACACCAATATTTGCGATGCCCGGACAAAAATCTGCTTGACCAGAAGTTTGTGGATAATTGTCAGGTCACGTGACCTTTCATGTTTCTGATTTCTAAAAACCCACAACCCCAAACTAATTTTCAAAAATAAACTGACAATTTATGGACTGACCTCGATAATAGAGTAGCAGACTGTTCCTAATAAAAATGTTAAGGCGATTTCCTGTCTCCAGCTATTAGAAAAACGAACGGACTACTAATGTATGCATCCTCTTGAAAAATCTTCTACACTGTTCCTACGGACCTAGTTACACCATTGAACTTGCAACTAACATTTAAGACTTGGCGCCTTCCAGTTTTAGTGGGCCGTCCTGTTTAAAATTGTGTCAGAGTTGTGGGAGAATCCTTAACTTTAAGAGCTACGAATCTAGCATCACACTTCAAGTCACTAAATAAAAATCGTAGGTCGATGTATGAGTAATGCTGTTGGAACGGTCAATTACCACCGCCATTAAATAGTTGTGTAAACATTTGACAGTGTTAGCTTTAACGGACACTACTAGTTATGGGTGTCCAAATAAGCGTCGTGTTCGTACTATGATACAGCTTGGTCCAAGATGAGTCCCTCCTAGACTACCAAACTGGAAGTCTCAAATTCCTATATTTCCACCCACGTACATGTATAATTTAGCTCCCAGCAGTTCTCAGCCTCTTTCATCTTCGTGTTTGAAGTATCATCCCCGGTAAGTTAGGTCGACTAGTAGGTCATGGTGTTGTAGTAGATCTGAGTCGATGACCGGGATTAACCCATTAGCAACAACAAAGATCTGGTAGACGTACCTGTGCAGTATGTGGGGATCAATTTTCCTTTTTCCCTCTGTAAATTGAGGAGTGTTCTATGAGATGGCTAGTATTCACAGGGAGGTTTATAACTTCTGCTCCAGTGTCGATGAGTTAATAAACCTTCTTCATCAAATATATGATGTATAACAGACAGTTGTTTCGTAATGACATACCTGCAATGATAAATAAATCTAAATAAATAGCTTTAATGGTCTTCAGCACTAATGCTGATCTAATTAGTTTTACTGGACACAACCTGGATGAAAGCTCTGTCAACCCCTCCCCACACCAGACCAAGAGCTGGTACTCCAATGACACAGATGACCGATTAGAATACCAAGGATTATATTGTAATTGTAGTCAGAAAGCCAAACTGGATACTATAAATAAGTGGTTTCGTCTTATTAAATATATGGAAATTAACCATAGTTTTTTATACGACATTATGAATAATAAGGTACATACCACGCTGAATGCCCCAGACAGGAATCCCATAACAGTGAACGGCTCTCATTATATGATTACTAGGCTGCTAGGCAGAAGACTTCAGCCTAACGATACTCAAACCGTTACACCTCTGTCCAAAGACTCTCACCCCATTTTTTCATATGATCTAAATTTCATGAAATCTGAACTCAAAATCAAACAGGTTCTGAAGCGCATAAACATACAAAAATTATCTGGCTTATGTGGTATACGACTCAGATTACTGAAAGAGTGTGTGGGCTTTCTTTGCTTCTCTCTTATTACTTTGTTAAAGGGTTCCTTAATGAAGGGCATACTACCTTTCGATTAAAAAAAGAATAGTTATACTGACCGGAGTGTCATTAGATTAAGTCCCTAAATCACTCCTCTTCCTACTGCTTACAACCAACCTGCGTAACCTTCTAGACTGTCGAATTCTCCTTTAAGTCGATGGTAGTGTAGCCTGAAGGTGAATAGTCGTCTCAGATGATGTTTCGACACTCTGAAAATAATTATATTGGACGTATCACTGAATTAACAATGACTTCCTCCTCTTCCGACATCAATAAGTGGAGAATGCCAGTTATAAACAGCAGTGATATCCCACTAATCTTGAAATCCCTTGAGAATTCCTTTTGCTAAGTACCAGTCTGGGATACCCTGAGATTCCCTTATAATTGGCATTACGCAGACAGAAAAAATGGTTCGTTTTGAGACATCTTTACAGTAGAGTCAGTTGTCTGACTCCAAAGTTAACGAAAAAGCTATTTTTGGTGTTTGCCTAAGACTTCGTTTTGAAAAATACTACCAAGTTATATTCTCTTGTCATGAGATATCGTTCTCCTGGAACATGTTCGAAGAGAGACTAAAAGGGTATTGGGAATACCGAACAGAGCCCAATTGTCTTGCATGCAGTCCATAAAAGACACAGTCGGAGGGGTGCATAATAACTAGACAGGATGTGATCACCTTGTATCACAATCCTCTCAACCAGAATAAATCACTGATGTGCTTCTGTGATGAGTCACTTGAGAGGACATCCACTCAAGATAGAACACAAGAGAGCTTCACAAAAATCTATGAAAATATTTTCCCATTGAACTCGGTAAGTTCTGGAACTCCATAAAGAAAAGTGAATTTTTTAAGGATGTGACAATTACTCTAACTCTGTAGACACTAAGGGAGATTACACAGCGTTAGCTCTCGATCACTCCCACTATTCACAAAATTATTTTGCCCTCCAGTTTCCATGAGAAGTATGACAAAAGTTATATCTCTACCTAGTCAATATCTATTTATAAGAGGACTACAAGGAAAAAACAGTTCACTAAATCTACTGACCAAACCTGAAATTCATTTCAATTTCATTTTGAAAAGGACGAGAGGCTATGTGGCATGTCCTAGTCCTGGCAATGGTGGTCTCTCAGCCTATCCAGCATCGGCAGATGAATTTTCAGACACGCGTTAGGATGGTGAGTTCGATTCGTTGATGACTACGGGGAAGTCGATAGTCAAATAACAGTTTGTTACATGAGGCATGCCAGTTTACAGGCAAGATCAAATTGATACAAATGGTACAATATACACTGTAATAAGTTACATAGCTGGGTTGATAATTTATAAGATATGAATGTGGATGGTTTTAATCAGTACCACAGTTAGCGCGCTTCATGAAAGTTGCGTTGCGAATGCGCAACTGATGGTCAAGGATAGGTTCATTGAATGTGGGAGCTTCTAAATGTCGCAACCATATGTCCCTCCGGGATGTCTAAGGCTTTGAGGATGGTGCACGATGAAATCTTTCGTTCCGTATCACAAGGAGGCTGAAAGAGGGAGAAAGGACGAGAGGCAGAGTAGCCAATATTCTTGAAGGAATGCTTAAGGTATGATTACTCAGTCTAATCTTCTTTTATTAAGGTATTTTTAAGAAGGAGCACTATAATAAGTTAACGAAAATAAGTGTTAACAAGGTGTGAGTGGACATACAATACTACCCAGAAATCCTCTTACAAGCAAACTAGACAATTCCCTAATATACGAAGCCTACTCAAGACCCTATAATACCCGGAAAAAAATAATAACACAAAAAAACGAAAGGGGCTCTTATAGCTTCGATAATAAAAGGAAGATAGCCAGTTGTGTATCACAATACTGTTTCTAGCACTATATTTCATTTTATAGCCACACATAATCCCATACTCTCAGCTCCTTTCCGAATCGCCTCCATTTGTCAGTTGTATGTCCACTCACACCTTGTTAACACTTATTTTCTTTAACGTATTAAAATGCTCTTTCTTAACGAATACCTTAATAAAAGAAGATTAGACTGAGTAATCATACCTTAAGCATTCCTTCAAGAATATTGGCTACTCTGCCTCTCGTGTTTTCTTTTACTTGCTTCCTCTTTCAGCCCCCTTGAGATATGGAACGGGTGACTTCATCCTGCACCAACCTCAAAGCCTTGGATATTCCAAAGGGACATAAGGTTGCGATTTCTAGAAGCTCATACCTTCAATGGACCTATCCTTGACCATCAGTCGCAACGCAACTTTCAAGAAGCGCGCTAACTGTAGCACTGCTTAAGACCATCTACATTCATATCTCATAAATTATCAACCCAGCTATGTAATTTACTACAGTGAATATTGTATCATTTGTGTCAATTTGATCTCGCCTATAAACTGGCATGCCTCATGTAACAAACTGTTATTTGAGAATAAATTATCATTATTATTATTATTAAGTACATACGACTGGCAAATGGAGGGGATTCGGAAAGGAGCTGAGAGTATGGGATTATGTGTGGCTATAAAATGAAATATAGTGCTAGAAACAGTATTGTGATACACAACTGGCTATCTTCCTTTTATTATCGAAGCTATAAGAGCCCCTTTCGTTTTTTTGTGTTATTATTTTTTTCCGGGTATTATAGGGTCTTGAGTAGGCTTCGTATATTAGGGAATTGTCTAGTTTGCTTATAATAGGATTTCTGGGTAGGAAGTGAAATCAATTCAACGTTCGTAACACGATTTAAAGAGGTATTTTGCGTGATAATTCAGCATCAATACCATAAGTTCGTGACATCCCACTAAACCATAAGGAGCCGTAATTAAACAAAATATTCTACCCAACAGACATGGGTGGATTAAATTTATCTCCCCACCATCATGTTTGCTGGTCAGTAACGCCACCCTCCCTCCTTTTGTGATGTTAGGCTCTCTTACGTTCGTGGTAAGTATGAACACTGCTTTAATCAAAGCCCATGGTTGGAATACACTGTCTTTACTAGGTCCATGTTACAAGCAAATCAGATAGTTGAAAAGTCTGTTTTATGGGTTAGATGTCCATATAGTATATCACACTGCTATGAAAATAACTAATGGTATAAATAAGTAAGGACCAATAGCAAATCAAAAGATATGAGAGGGTACAAAATTGTAGAAAAGAAGAAAGATTTTAGGGTAAGAAAAATAAAACATTGAGAAACTCACAAGACTTTGTGGCCAGATTTTGGGCTTTGTATGATCGGCCTTAGAAGATCAGCATCCATAAGACCGAGCTATCTGTCTACTTGCAGTAGAAAAAAGGCATGACTTTTAGGAAGAATAATGTATATATATATATATATATATATATTTGGAACTCTCCTATATTGAGACTTTGCCTTGTCTGTAACCCAAATCTCTTCCACATTCTTCTCCGCTTACAATGAACGTTACAGACATCTTTACTGAACCACAGTGGGGGGTTTCTCGAATCCCTCGGTGTAGTCCAAATGATGTGAAGTGTAGTGAATTTAATTCACAGATTTATGAATACATCCCAGGCAGTTTCAATTGGTAATCTGGTTCTATTGAGGATGCTGAGTGTATAATATCTTTTACATTTGCTTTTCAGATGTTCGGTTTGGTTTGGGCTGACACTTCCTCCTTATTGACGATTACATGGAAATCAAAGACTAGAACAGCATAGTCAATTTTACCTAAGGGTGGCATACAATGGAGACTTTTGACGTGTGATTATGGCCTAATTCAGTGTTCGTACACTTATCCTTGTTACTTCAATAATAGACTCAA